TTAGGGCATGCTGAGTAGCTGGAAAAATAAAAGAAGAGCATGTGCTTTCATGGGGAAACGCTCAAACATTCATACTTGGGGCAAATGTTGAAATACCATAGCTCCCCACCCCTTTGGATTTCGACTTGAGAAGTACGGTGCAGGCTCTAGATCGCATGCACTAACTAGCCATGCAAAAAACAAGGGCTTAGGGCATGCAGAGTAGCTGGGAAAAATATAAGAAGAGCATGTGCTTTCATGGGGAAACGCTCAAACATTCATACTTGGGGCAAACGTTGAAATGCTATAGCTCCCCACCCCTTTGGATTTTCGACTTGAGAATTGCGGTGCAGGCTCTAGATCGCATACACTAACCAGCCATGCAAAAAACAAGGGCTTAGGGCATGCTGAGTAGCTGGGAAAAATAAAAGAAGAGCATGTGCTTTCATGGGAAACGCTCAAACATTCATACTTGGGGCAAACGTTGAAATGCTATAGCTCCCCACCCCTTTGGATTTTCGACTTGAGAATTGCGGTGCAGGCTCTAGATGGCATGCACTAACCAGCCATGTGAAAAACAAGGGCTTAGGGCATGCTGAGTAGCTGGGAAAAATAAAAGAAGAGCATGTGCTTTCATGGGGAAACGCTCAAACATTCATACTTGGGGCAAATGTTGAAATGCTATAGCTCCCCACCCCTTTGGATTTTCGACTTGAGAATGGCGGTGCAGGCTCTAGATCGCATGCACTAACCAGCCATGCAAAAAACAAGGGCTTAGGGCATGCTGAGTAGCTGGGAAAAATAAAAGAAGTGCATGTGCTTTCATGGGGAAACGCTCAAACATGCATACTTGGGGCAAATGTTGAAATGCTATAGCTCCCACCCCTTTGGATTTTCGACTTGAGAATTACGGTGCAGGCTCTAGATACATGCCAAAGCCATGCAAAAAACAAGGGCTTAGGGCATGCAGAGTAGCTGGGAAAAATATAAGAAGAGCATGTGCTTTCATGGGGAAACGCTCAAACATTCATACTTGGGGCAAACGTTGAAATGCTATAGCTCCCCACCCCTTTGGATTTTCGACTTGAGAATTGCGGTGCAGGCTCTAGATCGCATACACTAACCAGCCATGCAAAAAACAAGGGCTTAGGGCATGCTGAGTAGCTGGGAAAAATAAAAGAAGAGCATGTGCTTTCATGGGGAAACGCTCAAACATTCATACTTGGGGCAAACGTTGAAATGCTATAGCTCCCCACCCCTTTGGATTTTCGACTTGAGAATTGCGGTGCAGGCTCTAGATGGCATGCACTAACCAGCCATGTGAAAAACAAGGGCTTAGGGCATGCTGAGTAGCTGGGAAAAATAAAAGAAGAGCATGTGCTTTCATGGGGAAACGCTCAAACATTCATACTTGGGGCAAATGTTGAAATGCTATAGCTCCCCACCCCTTTGGATTTTCGACTTGAGAATTGGCGGTGCAGGCTCTAGATGGCATGCACTAACCAGCCATGCAAAAAACAAGGGCTTAGGGCATGCTGAGTAGCTGGGAAAAATAAAAGAAGTGCATGTGCTTTCATGGGGAAACGCTCAAACATCATACTTGGGGCAAATGTTGAAATGCTATAGCTCCCCACCCCTTTGGATTTTCGACTTGAGAATTGCGGTGCAGGCTCTAGATGCATGCCAAAGCCATGCAAAAAACAAGGGCTTAGGGCATGCAGAGTAGCTGGGAAAAATCAAAGAAGAGCATGTGCTTTCATGGGGAAACGCTCAAACATTCATACTTGGGGCAAATGTTGAAATGCTATAGCTCCCCACCCCTTTGGATTTTCGACTTGAGAATTGCGGTGCAGGCTCTAGATGGCATGCACTAACCAGCCATGCAAAAAACAAGGGCTTAGGGCATGCTGAGTAGCTGGGAAAAATAAAAGAAGAGCATGTGCTTTCATGGGGAAACGCTCAAACATTCATACTTGGGGCAAATGTTGAAATGCTATAGCTCCCCACCCCTTTGGATTTTCGACTTGAGAATTGCGGTGCAGGCTCTAGATGGCATGCACTAACCAGCCATGCAAAAAACAAGGGCTTAGGGCATGCTGAGTAGCTGGGAAAAATAAAAGAAGAGCATGTGCTTTCATGGGGAAACGCTCAAACATTCATACTTGGGGCAAATGTTGAAATGCTATAGCTCCCCACCCCTTTGGATTTTCGACTTGAGAATTGCGGTGCAGGCTCTAGATGCATGCACTAACCAGCCATGCAAAAAACAAGGGCTTAGGGCATGCTGAGTAGCTGGGAAAAATAAAAGAAGAGCATGTGCTTTCATGGGGAAACGCTCAAACATTCATACTTGGGGCAAATGTTGAAATGCTATAGCTCCCCACCCCTTTGGATTTTCGACTTGAGAATTGCGGTGCAGGCTCTAGATGGCATGCACTAACCAGCCATGCAAAAAACAAGGGCTTAGGGCATGCTGAGTAGCTGGGAAAAATAAAAGAAGAGCATGTGCTTTCATGGGGAAACGCTCAAACATTCATACTTGGGGCAAATGTTGAAATGCTATAGCTCCCCACCCCTTTGGATTTTCGACTTGAGAATTGCGGTGCAGGCTCTAGATGGCATGCACTAACCAGCCATGTCAAAAACAAGGGCTTAGGGCATGCTGAGTAGCTGGGAAAAATAAAAGAAGAGCATGTGCTTTCATGGGGAAACGCTCAAACATTCATACTTGGGGCAAATGTTGAAATGCTATAGCTCCCCACCCCTTTGGATTTTCGACTTGAGAATTGCGGTGCAGGCTCTAGATGGCATGCACTAACCAGCCATGCAAAAAACAAGGGCTTAGGGCATGCTGAGTAGCTGGGAAAAAATAAAAGAAGAGCATGTGCTTTCATGGGGAAACGCTCAAACATGCATACTTGGGGCAAATGTTGAAATGCTATAGCTCCCCACCCCTTTGGATTTTCGACTTGAGAATTGCGGTGCAGGCTCTAGATGCATGCACTAACAGCCATGCAAAAAACAAGGGCTTAGGGCATGCTGAGTAGCTGGGAAAAATAAAAGAAGAGCATGTGCTTTCATGGGGAAACGCTCAAACATTCATACTTGGGGCAAATGTTGAAATGCTATAGCTCCCTCACCCCTTTGGCATGTTTTTTTGGTTGCGCACATTAAGATGATACACTAAAGACCATGCAAAAAATCAGGTGTAGGATGCTTCTGGACACTGGATTCGAATGTTCAGGCTCTGATACACTGTTAGGATTAAGGACAGAGTCTAGGTGAACTTAGGAGCTAGAATTACTCAAAATATAAATCCGAAATTCTGGACAGAAAAGTCGTCTTCACAAGAAACGACGTCGACAAAACACTAGCCGTTGGAATGTCGCGAAACTTGGATATGTTGTAGCTCTTGATCTCAGCTACCGTTCCCAATTTGAATCACGTTGATTGATGAAGTATTCGCGACGCTATGGCTTTCGACGCACTAGGGGGTAAGCTGTAGGAGGAGAACTTAACTCAATCTCAAGAGTTCAATCAAAGTTCAAGAATCTCACAAGGAATTAGAAGGAGCAAGAGAAAGGTTGGGATAGGAAGAGAGGGATGAGAGGGAAGGTCCCAAGAGAGTCCCCAACCAAGGAAACCCCATAAGCACAAAGATTCCCTCCCTATAGGAACCCCAACTTTGACATTTGTCCCTTCCCAACCAATCCATCCAAGTTGGCCACCCTTGCCAACCTAGCTTGGTTGTTCCCAACCAATTTGCAGCTGTTACAGTGAGTGACAAATTTCCCAAACCCCCAAAGGTCCCAACTCCATATAGAGTCACCCCACAACTTCACTTTGTAACCGCCGCAATTGTAACGCAAGCTCATGAACTTTGAATCTTCATAGCTTTCGCGTTCTTGCTCCGATTGAAGGGATTCTCGTTGCGTCGGAAAGATCTTCTCAAGATCTATCATCACAAAAAACCTGCTCAAACAAAATAACACAAAACACATTCCCAAACTCCAGAACACATCACACACAAATTCTTGCACACGTTCAAACCACACATGCAAGTTGAAAAAATATGGGATGGGAGGCAGACAGAATGTGATAGCATATGATGACATCACACAACAATCTCCCCCTCTGGCTGCCAACCATCATCCACCATACCAACATCTCAAGCATGCATACTCAATGCACACTCATCCCAGCAAGCTTCATGCCCTTCCAATGATCCGCCTCCGCCAGACGCTTGGTGAAAATATCTGCTGCCTGCTGATGGGTCTTCACTATCTCCAGCCGCACCTCCTTATCAAGGAGTCTCCTCACCCAATGCCACTTAGGCCTTATGTGTTTTGTCAGCCCATGCAGACAAGCATTCTTGGCGAGCTTCACAGCGGACTCATTGTCACAAAACACAACTGTCGGCTTCTCCTGACCAACTCCCAACTCCTCCAACAAACGCCTTAGCCACACTACTTCCTTGGCCCATGGTGTAAGGCCATGTACTCAGTCTCACATGAGGACAATCCCACCTCATTCTGCTTCTTGCTGCGCCAGCTCACAGCACCACCTCCTAGCAAGCACACATAACCCCCAATGCTGGTGCCATCCGCTTTCACTGAGTTGAAGCTAGCGTCAGTATAGCAACTCAAGAGCATCTCTCCACTCTTCACATCTGCAGCACCTCTCTGCAACCGCTGCCTCACTCCACTGTACTCCAATCCCACTGATGCCGTAGCGCTCACATAGCGGACCAACCTCTTGGCCGCTTCCAGCTGCTCATGACTAGGGCGTGAGACCACACTAGCCAATCGTGATGTAGCAAATGCAATGTCAGGCCGTGTATGATTTGCAGCATAATTCAGCGACCCAACCATCGAATGAAACAGCTTCCTGTCACTATCACCCACTACCTCCTCATCAGCACATGGCTCCACAGTGAACCCCGAAGGTAGTGGTGTTGCTGGCTTTCCCCCATCTTGCAGCCCATACTTCTCAGCCAGCCCCTCACAGTACTTCCTCTGGTGCAACCTCAGCACACCCTTTTCCACATCTCTCTCCACGTGCATCCCCAAGTAGTACTTCGCCTCACCCATCTTGGAGCACTTGAACTGCATCTCCAGCATCTGCTCTGCGCTGTCCAGCAAAGCAGTTGATGCAGAAAAGAGAAGGATATCATCCACATACACCAAGAGCATGAGGATTTCGTCCTTCTCCTGCAGCAGGAACAGGCTGGGGTCACACTCACTCTTCTTGAAACCCCCAGCCAGCAGCGCCTCCTCCAACTTGTGATACCATGCACGAGGCGCCTGCTTAAGGCCATAGATGGCCTTCTTCAGCCTGCAGACCCTGCCGCTCCCATCATCCAGCCCCTCTGGCTGCTTCATGTACACCTCCTCCAGAATGATCCCATTCAGAAAGGCAGTCACAATGTCCATCTGCCGAATCTTCCATCCCAGGAGTGCAGCTATCGCCAACAGCACCCTCAATGTTGTTCCTTTCCCCACAGGAGCAAACACCTCATCATAGTCCTTCCCCTTTGTCTGCTGAAACCCCCGTGCCACAAGCCTAGACTTGTAGCGGGTCAGCTCCCCTTCAGGTCCATACTTGTGCCTGTAGATCATCTTGGAAGTGATTGCCTTCTTTCCAGGAGGCAAGTCACACAGGTCCCATGTCTCGTTCTCAATTAGGGACCCGAACTCCTCATCCTCACTCGCCTTCCACTTCTCCCCATTTGGTCCATTCAAGGCCTCTTCTCGAGTCTTGGGCTCAGGGATTGGTGCCCAGTAGCAGTGAGCGATCTCATCTTCCTCAATCTGCTCAACCACACTCCCAGCCTGCACCACATTCGGCTTGCCTCTTCCCCCATAGGTCAGCCTCACTGGAGGGCGCACATCCCTCCTAGGACGCTCAGGCGGGTGTGGAACTCGAGGTGGAGACTCATGCTGCTGCTGCTGCTGCTGCTCTACTTCAGCTGCTCCCCCTTCCTCAGTCACCCCAGACATCTCCTCCTCTGACACTGCAACCTCCACCTGTCTTGAAGGCTGCTGCACCTCATCTGCCTCCACAATGAGCGGTGTAGATGGAAGCTTCTGTTGCTGCTGCTTCCATTCCTTGTAGTACAGGGACTCAAGAAACTTCACATCCCTTGACACTGTCAACTTCTGGGTGGTCAAGTCCCATAGCAGCCACCCCTTGTGATCCTTTGCAATCCCCAAGTGCACACCCCATCTTCCAGAAGCCTCCAACTTCCCCTTTTCTCCTTAGGCACATGAAACACCACCATGCACCCAAATGCCCTCAGCATGTTCACAGCTGGAGCACTCCCATACCACTTGACGTATGGGATCCACTCCTTATCTCCAACTGTAGCCAGCACCCTGTTCTTCACAAGGGCGACCTGCCTCAGTGCAGACACCCAAAACGGATCAGGCAGCCCTGCACGCCCAAGGAGAGTGCGTGCCCCCTCCTGCAGGGTCCTGTTGAACCTCTCAGCCACGCCATTCTGCTGTGGGTTGTAGGGCACTGTCAGTTGATGCTGGATCCCCTTCCTCTTCAACTCCCCCTCAAAATCAGCTCCAATGAACTCCCCACCATTGTCACTACGGATCACCTTCACCTTGTGTCCGCATTCCCTCTGAGCTCTCGGCATCCACTCTTTAAGGACAGCCGCTGCCACCTCCCCCTTGCTCTTCAAAGGGTAAACCCACACTGCCCGAGTGTGGTCATCCACAATTGTCAAGAAATAGCGGCTGCCTGAGAGGGAAGGGGCTCTTGTGGGCCCCACCACATCCATGTGCACAAGTGCAAGTGGGGTCTTGGATGGTCCAGTTGCACTGTTGAAGGGGAACTTGGAGAACTTGGTCTCCAAGCATGTAGGGCAGCTCCCAATCTCCTTCACTTCCCCTTTCACCTCCAAGCCCTTCAGGCTCCCATTCTTCACCAACTTCTGCAGCATAGGGAAGTTCACATGACACAACCTCTCATGCCATGTCTCCCAATCGGCCTCTCCACTCCTTGATGAAGCCTTAGCCCATGCCGCACTCGCATCCACACCAGCAAGCACCTCACCATGTGTCTGCTGCTGCTGCACTTTCTTGACTGCTTCCAGGACCCCATCAGTTGGTGCAGTTGCATCTCCTCCTGCTGTTGCCTTTGCCACTGCTGCCGTTGCTGCTGTTGGAGTCTTCCCATTCCAAGGGATGATGGGCAGCTGCCACAGGTCCTTGATGCAGCTGGTCTCCTCTTCCAGACTCCACAGCACCTTCTTCCCAAGCTTAGCACGGCAGCTGGTTGGTCCAAAGGTCACTTCGGCCTTACTCTTCTGCAGCCGCCGCACAGAGAGAAGGTTAGCAGACAAGCCTTTAACCAGCAGAACATTCCCAAGCCCCACAAGCTCCCCATTAGCTCCCTTAACCTTGGCATTCCCAACACCAATCACGGGGAGCAAAGCACCTGACGCTGCTGCCACATACTTAATCTTCCCAGGGGGTTTTACCTCATCAAGCAAATCTGCCCGTGGGGTCATGTGACTGGTGCAACCCGAATCAATCACCCAGTGCGTGAGAGGGTGCATCACAACCTTTCCCACAAATCCCACATCACCCTCATGCCCATGCACATCCTCAACCATAAGAAACAAACCAGGATAGGCATTACCTTGTGCACCTTCACCTTGTGCACCTGAGCCTTGCACAGCGCCACCTTGTGCGCGTTCACCACTGGGTGGCTTCATGCCTGGAGGTGCCCATCCCTCCGGCCTGCTGAAGCACTTGAACCAAGGATGCCCTATCTTCTTGCAGTACCAGCACGTGCCCTCCATTCTGGTACTCCCCCTGCCACTAGAGCTCCCATGCCCCTCATTATAGTCACCTCGGCCTCTACCTCTGCCAAAGCTCCTCCCACGGCCTCGGCCTTTCCAACCCCCTCTTCCTCTGCTGCGCCCTGCAGCTCCATACCCCTCAGCAGTCTTAGTGGCAGCACCGCCTCCCACATGGCGTCTGCGGAAGTCCTCCTGCAGAATCTGCTGCCTTAGCCACTCAGGTGTCCATTGATCTTGCTGAGAGTTGAGGGTGGGGATGAGGTTGTCCCAAGAGTTGTCCAACACCGAGATGATCTTGGTGCACTGCTGCAGCTGAGATACACTGCTGCCCGCTGCTGCCATCCTTGCATAGGTGTCCTTGATCTTGTCAAGGACCGGCTTCACATCGTCCCCTGGTCGCATGGAGATGGCAGCAAGTTCCTTCTCGAGCACGATCACCATCGGAGAGTGTTGGGCTGAACCACATCACGTAGTAGTTTCCACGCCCTTGGACCCGAATCATCCGCTTCCACAAGATCCTTGATGTGCTCGAACATCTCCTTGTTGACCGATTGAAGAATGAGGTCGAAAAGCACCGCGCTTTTCTCAATCCACCGTTCACGTGCTTCGCCTTCTTCCGGCATCTTCTCTTCCCCAACAGCAATCTTCAGGAGCTTGTAGCGTTTGAAGGCACTCCTCATCCGTCCGCTCCATTCCTCATAGTTGGAGCCATCCAAAGCTTCAACTTTTGATGGCGGCGGCTCACTTGTCTTCTCAGCTACAGCTCCTCTTCCATTAGCATCTCCTCCTCTCTCATTCATCTTCTCCTTGAGAAATGACGAATTTCAGCTCCCCTTTGCTGTCCACACTCAGCTCCCTCGATATTTTCACAAGTGTCGGCGTCCACGAAATTTCGGCAGAGTTTCCCCTTAGCGGAAGACACATCCAACCTTTAGAACACCACTTAGGCACACCCACAGGCCATGGTGGGTCTAGAAGGGTCTTCACACTTCTGTAGACTCCTCTCAATGTCCTTAATATCGCTCTGATACCACTGTTGGCCAGCCCGCTACCAACTGGTTAAAAGGGCATGTTTTTTTTGTGGTGGGTAGCGCACCATTACCCCCAGGACGGACCTGTAGCCTCCACACTCAACTAGGACGATCCAGTGCCCACCAACAATCTCCCCTCACTGGGTCGTCAGGGCACCTGGCGCCTCCTCTGCGCACACTGGGATTCGAACCCTGGACCTTCCAGGCTCTGATACCACTTGTTAGGATTAAGGACAGAGTCTAGGTGAACTTAGGAGCTAGAATTACTCAAAATATAAATCCGAAATTCTGGACAGAAAAGTCGTCTTCACAAGAAACGACGTCGACAAAACACTAGCCGTTGGAATGTCGCGAAACTTGGATATGTTGTAGCTCTTGATCTCAGCTACCGTTCCCAATTTGAATCACGTTGATTGATGAAGTATTCGCGACGCTATGGCTTTCGACGCACTAGGGGGTAAGCTGTAGGAGGAGAACTTAACTCAATCTCAAGAGTTCAATCAAAGTTCAAGAATCTCACAAGGAATTAGAAGGAGCAAGAGAAAGGTTGGGATAGGAAGAGAGGGATGAGAGGGAAGGTCCCAAGAGAGTCCCCAACCAAGGAAACCCCATAAGCACAAAGATTCCCTCCCTATAGGAACCCCAACTTTGACATTTGTCCCTTCCCAACCAATCCATCCAAGTTGGCCACCCTTGCCAACCTAGCTTGGTTGTTCCCAACCAATTTGCAGCTGTTACAGTGAGTGACAAATTTCCCAAACCCCCAAAGGTCCCAACTCCATATAGAGTCACCCCACAACTTCACTTTGTAACCGCCGCAATTGTAACGCAAGCTCATGAACTTTGAATCTTCATAGCTTTCGCGTTCTTGCTCCGATTGAAGGGATTCTCGTTGCGTCGGAAAGATCTTCTCAAGATCTATCATCACAAAAAACCTGCTCAAACAAAATAACACAAAACACATTCCCAAACTCCAGAACACATCACACACAAATTCTTGCACACGTTCAAACCACACATGCAAGTTGAAAAAATATGGGATGGGAGGCAGACAGAATGTGATAGCATATGATGACATCACACAACACCCACCCCTTTGGATTTTCGACTTGAGAATGGCGGTGCAGGCTCTAGATCGCATGCACTAACCAGCCATGCAAAAAACAAGGGCTTAGGGCATGCTGAGTAGCTGGAAAAATAAAAGAAGAGCATGTGCTTTCATGGGGAAACGCTCAAACATTCATACTTGGGGCAAATGTTGAAATACCATAGCTCCCCACCCCTTTGGATTTTCGACTTGAGAAGTACGGTGCAGGCTCTAGATCGCATGCACTAACTAGCCATGCAAAAAACAAGGGCTTAGGGCATGCAGAGTAGCTGGGAAAAATATAAGAAGAGCATGTGCTTTCATGGGGAAACGCTCAAACATTCATACTTGGGGCAAACGTTGAAATGCTATAGCTCCCCACCCCTTTGGATTTTCGACTTGAGAATTGCGGTGCAGGCTCTAGATCGCATACACTAACCAGCCATGCAAAAAACAAGGGCTTAGGGCATGCTGAGTAGCTGGGAAAAATAAAAGAAGAGCATGTGCTTTCATGGGGAAACGCTCAAACATTCATACTTGGGGCAAACGTTGAAATGCTATAGCTCCCACCCCTTTGGATTTTCGACTTGAGAATTGCGGTGCAGGCTCTAGATGGCATGCACTAACCAGCCATGTGAAAAACAAGGGCTTAGGGCATGCTGAGTAGCTGGGAAAAATAAAAGAAGAGCATGTGCTTTCATGGGGAAACGCTCAAACATTCATACTTGGGGCAAATGTTGAAATGCTATAGCTCCCCACCCCTTTGGATTTTCGACTTGAGAATGGCGGTGCAGGCTCTAGATCGCATGCACTAACCAGCCATGCAAAAAACAAGGGCTTAGGGCATGCTGAGTAGCTGGGAAAAATAAAAGAAGTGCATGTGCTTTCATGGGGAAACGCTCAAACATGCATACTTGGGGCAAATGTTGAAATGCTATAGCTCCCCACCCCTTTGGATTTTCGACTTGAGAATTACGGTGCAGGCTCTAGATCACATGCAAAGCCATGCAAAAAACAAGGGCTTAGGGCATGCTGAGTAGCTGGGAAAAATAAAAGAAGAGCATGTGCTTTCATGGGGAAACGCTCAAACATTCATACTTGGGGCAAATGTTGAAATGCTATAGCTCCCCACCCCTTTGGATTTTCGACTTGAGAATGGCGGTGCAGGCTCTAGATCGCATGCACTAACCAGCCATGCAAAAAACAAGGGCTTAGGGCATGCTGAGTAGCTGGAAAAAATAAAAGAAGAGCATGTGCTTTCATGGGGAAACGCTCAAACATTCATACTTGGGGCAAATGTTGAAATACCATAGCTCCCCACCCCTTTGGATTTTCGACTTGAGAAGTACGGTGCAGGCTCTAGATCGCATGCACTAACTAGCCATGCAAAAAACAAGGGCTTAGGGCATGCAGAGTAGCTGGGAAAAATATAAGAAGAGCATGTGCTTTCATGGGGAAACGCTCAAACATTCATACTTGGGGCAAACGTTGAAATGCTATAGCTCCCCACCCCTTTGGATTTTCGACTTGAGAATTGCGGTGCAGGCTCTAGATCGCATACACTAACCAGCCATGCAAAAAACAAGGGCTTAGGGCATGCTGAGTAGCTGGGAAAAATAAAAGAAGAGCATGTGCTTTCATGGGGAAACGCTCAAACATTCATACTTGGGGCAAACGTTGAAATGCTATAGCTCCCCACCCCTTTGGATTTTCGACTTGAGAATTGCGGTGCAGGCTCTAGATGGCATGCACTAACCAGCCATGTGAAAAACAAGGGCTTAGGGCATGCTGAGTAGCTGGGAAAAATAAAAGAAGAGCATGTGCTTTCATGGGGAAACGCTCAAACATTCATACTTGGGGCAAATGTTGAAATGCTATAGCTCCCCACCCCTTTGGATTTTCGACTTGAGAATTGCGGTGCAGGCTCTAGATCGCATGCACTAACCAGCCATGCAAAAAAAAAGGGCTTAGGGCATGCTGAGTAGCTGGGAAAAATAAAAGAAGAGCATGTGCTTTCATCGGGAAACGCTCAAACATTCATACTTGGGGCAAATGTTGAAATGCTATAGCTCCCCACCCCTTTGGATTTTCGACTTGAGAATTGCGGTGCAGGCTCTAGATGGCATGCACTAACCAGCCATGCAAAAAACAAGGGCTTAGGGCATGCTGAGTAGCTGGGAAAAATAAAAGAAGAGCATGTGCTTTCATGGGGAAACGCTCAAACATTCATACTTGGGGCAAATGTTGAAATGCTATAGCTCCCCACCCCTTTGGATTTTCGACTTGAGAATTGCGGTGCAGGCTCTAGATGGCATGCACTAACCAGCCATGCAAAAAAAAAGGGCTTAGGGCATGCTGAGTAGCTGGGAAAAATAAAAGAAGAGCATGTGCTTTCATCGGGAAACGCTCAAACATTCATACTTGGGGCAAATGTTGAAATGCTATAGCTCCCCACCCCTTTGGATTTTCGACTTGAGAATTGCGGTGCAGGCTCTAGATGGCATGCACTAACCAGCCATGCAAAAAACAAGGGCTTAGGGCATGCTGAGTAGCTGGGAAAAATAAAACAAGAGCATGTGCTTTCATGGGGAAACGCTCAAACATTCATACTTGGGGCAAATGTTGAAATGCTATAGCTCCCCACCCCTTTGGATTTTCGACTTGAGAATTGCGGTGCAGGCTCTAGATGGCATGAACTAACCAGCCGTACAAAAAACAAGGGCTTAGGGCATACTGAGTAGCTGGGAAAAATAAAAGAAGAGCATGTGCTTTCATGGGGAAACGCTCAAATACTCATACTTGGGGCAAATGTTGAAATGCTATAGCTCCCCACCCCTTTGGATTTTCGACTTGAGAATTGCGGTGCAGGCTCTAGATGGCATGCACTAACCAGCGGTACAAAAAACAAGGGCTTAGGGCATACTGAGTAGCTGGGAAAAATAAAAGAAGAGCATGTGCTTTCATGGGGAAACGCTCAAACATTCATACTTGGGGCAAATGTTGAAATGCTATAGCTCCCCACCCCTTTGGATTTTCGACTTGAGAATTGCGGTGCAGGCTCTAGATGGCATGCACTAACCAGCCATGCAAAAAACA